CCTGAGTTATTTTGTTACAGCGCTGTAGTTTTGTTGCTTTTTCAGTGGAAGGAAACTCATTTATGCGACACATTTGACATATTCACTGCTTTCATGATTAAAATGGGCATGTTTTATATGAACTTTGCATAAGATGTGGTTTGAAAAGACTTTTAGAATCACAGCCATCATTTAGCCAGTATTTTTTATTGAATATCGAATTGATTTGAAATATATCGTATTGAATTGAAAGTGCACTGTATTGAGATATGTATCTTATCGTGGCCTATGTCGGCAACTTCTTAATAATACCCAGTCCTAATGTTTAATATACTGTATAGAACCCTATTGAGACAGCACCATCATTTTGTAAACATTATACAGTTGAAGTATTTACTGAAGATACTTATAATACTGTAGTAAGCATATTCTGGGGTGACTCAACTTGTAGAGTGTTTTCCACGGTTGGTGAATCCCAATCTCTACATAAACATCATTGTTAGAGCAGTCAGATCCACTGATGATGAATACTGGTGGTGTGTCCTTGGGCAAGACACTTAACCCATCTCGCCCCCAGTGTTTGCGTACACTGGTGAGTGAATGTGTGAGTGTTTTTTTGATGTAAAGTGCTTTGAGTGCCTTGAATTTTTTCCATATCCACACACAGTATCGTGAGCCAGGTATCACATATTCAATCTAATGCTGAGGCTCCCTGTGATTCCAGCTGTTTTGCTGCTGATTAAAACACGCAGCATTTGAGTTTACATTGAGTCATGGTTTTGGCCTGGATTGTAACTTTCTGGACAAAAACCACAACCCTCATCAGATTAGCCGTATAATCCTAAGAGCTTCACATGTATGGGTCTAAAGTGGCTGTACACAAACACACAGATGCACGCTGGATTTCCTCCTGCTCTGAGCCGATGCATCACTGTCGCAGCCCACTCTGATCTGGCCACTTTGATCAGCTCCTCTGGCAGCCTGGAACCATCAATCACTTTGTATGGCCTGCAGAGAAAAGGAAGTATTTGCACTACTACAAATCACATATGTTTGTTACTCTAAGGTACAATGACTTACCTGGAGAGTATCCCACTGTCTTTCCACGCCATTGATCAGAAAGCAGAATGACTGTTTGGAGACCCCCACTCTAATCTAACTCATCATCTTCAAGTCTCTCCACAAACACAAATGACCTTACCTTGACCTAACGTGCTGTGCTGTAATTGAATAGCTTTCATCCACAGTAAAGTAGTAAAGAATTAACCATTATAGTGTTAGCCAAAAGGCATCCTTGCTTGGAGCAGTTAGAGTGGTTCTCAAACTGTGGTCTCTGTCCTACTGGTGGAATTTCTCCATAGATGTAAATAGGAGAATCACTGGAGAATCTAGTGCCATGAAAGTATCTTGATATGGTACAATAGAATGTGATTTTCATAACAAAGTAATAGTATTTGTTTTATTAGTCTCATGTCTCACATTCGTTCTGTTAATCACTTTAAAGCTCATTCTAAAACAATTTAAAAGTGAGAAAGAATGTCCAACTTTGTCATTTTTGTTTAACTTGTTTTTTTTCTGGACAACATATAACTAAACTTTCACTCATCCATAAAAAATATGTTGTAGAATTGTGAACAAATCGTCACTGTAATTGTTTTGAGTTAAATAAATAAAGCTTATTCCATTTCTATAATAATATTAATAATTAGGGATGTAATAATAAACAAAATATTGTGATATCATGTTTTCAAAAGTCTCACAATAATATCGTGGGCTGTCATAAAATATCAAATTACAAGTTTCTTTGCTTAAACACATGTTGTTGTTTTTTAGTATCAGCAGCTTATGAACATCGGAAACTACATATCCCATGATTCATTTCAGTGCAGACAACATGAAGATTTATGTTTTTTACTTTAATTCTGACTGAAATAATTCACACCAAAATCTTGTCAAGGTATTTTAAAAGCAAAAAAGTGTCCCATCTACAATTATATTAACATCTTCAAAATATAGCAATAAATATTGTACCGTGAGATTTGGATATCGTTACATTCCTAATAATAATAATGCATAACACTTGTATAGCTCTTTTCAGAATACTCAAAGATGCTTTCCATGAAGACAAAAAGATAAACAAAAGATAATGAACTATGTAAAACAGCTATTAGTGACTGCAATAATGTCCACATAAGTATCATCATTAAATTTGTAGATAGAAACTGACAGACTTACAGGAGTGCAATGTTCACACAGTATATATGAAAATGTGGGTCGTTAATAAAATCAGGGAGCCATATAACAACAGTATTAGGTCTGTTTGCATTGGAGGTTTGAATGATGATCCCAACTTGGCAACTGTGACGTCTCAGCTTGGGAGTTCCAGCACCCAGGGGCCCAGCTGAGAAGGTCTGCCTCACAGTTCCTTCCTGTTATTTATAATGGCATAAATCAACAGTGTAGCACGTTTCCCATCTTAATACCTCTGGACTTGTGTGGATTTATTCCTAGAGGATGTGCTGCCAGTGCCGTGTCGGGAAGGAGAAGTTTGGTGTTTTGTTTTTGCGCTCAGCTGTTGGTTGTCAGACACACAGAACAAGATGAAGAAGTGATGTTCCAATAGAAATGTCAGAAAAGTCGTAAATTAGGCACGCTGTTTATGAGACATGGATATCTACTGGAGATTTACAAAGTTGCAGTTTCTATGTGTATACACGTAGAGTACTCTGACTATGCTTCTGGTCTGATCCTGATAACACAATAAATGATAATAATGACATTACTTTATGCAACAAAGAAACCCTAAAGCAGGATTATTCCTCCAAAAAACATTTTAAATGTGCAATATAGTTACAAAAACCAAAACTTCAATAAATAAATAGCAGAATAAACCACTTTAATGAGTTAGTTTGTGTCTATAATGAGCCATAGAAGTTCTTTATTCAACCCAACACAGCTTAAATTTGATCATAGTACAGAAAAATACCAAAAAGTTCCACAATAAATACTGAGATCCAAAATGTATTGTTCTATCTGTCCAAATGCAGATTTACATTTACAAAATTTTATGTTATGCCTATAGAGATGCATTATAGCAAAAAAAAAAAAAATATATATATATATATATATATATATATATATATATATATATATATATATATATATATATATATATATATATATATATATAAATGAACAAACAGAACAAGCTAAATGAGATGGGCCACTACTGGTAAATCTTTCACACTGTTGCATATTACACTATTTAGCATTAAAATCTCCTCTGATTTAACATTAAGCTGACTTAAAATTCTCTTAGATGACACAATCCTGATCTCTCTCACAAATGACTGCTAATGGTTATACATAGTGAGTAGTTAGCGCTCATGTCTCACATAATAAAGATTTTTTTTGTTTAAAGTATTTGTCCAAAGAGGTGTTTGTCAAATAAAGACTGCCAGTAGTAAATCAATGTAATGTCTTTGCTGTCTGCTGTTAGGCCTCCAACTAGCAGGCAATTTGTGAAAGGAAATGAATCAACCATAGAGCAACAAATATACTAAAACCTGATCCGAGCATCTGAATTTTCAATTAAAGGCCCATTTTATGGTATATTATAAAGTTGTTTCCTCATCAAAAACATACCCAATGATGAGTTTTGTTTCATTCACGCATGTTTAATAGATAAAACCTGCATGAGTTCTTTACATTAAGTGCTCCACTGTGTTTTTAAACTTCATACTCCTTTACTAGAATCATTTGGATCATTTCAGATCTGGAAATGCCAATCTCTACTGAACAAAGGGCAGATTTTTTATTCAGAAGTGCCATTTCATTGTGGAACAGCGCATTTTGAAATCTAAAAACTGAAAACAGACAGCTCCAGCTATGTTTTTGAGGAGGAACCAACATTCTAACATGGCTTAACGCTCACAATACATTTTGCGTAATATAGGACCTTTAAACAACTTCTATGTCTTGCTGAATTTTATGCAGATCTTAACTCAAAGACCACATACCACTCTGCTCTATGATAAAAGCATGTTTGCGGCAGAAGCGCTCAGCCGTCATATCCCTCCTCCTCCTTTTTCTCAGCTCATCAGAAGGAAGATTTTCTCTCTTTACTGAGGAGGAGGAGGCCAATAACAATAATGAATAGAGGCCTGTTCACCCTGATCCCGAGAGCGCCGCACTTGTCTATGTTTCTCACACTTATGAATAGAATTAACACCAGCTGTTTATAAAGACTACCAGCTTCCTGACACTAGACATGTTTGCTATTGATATGCAGATGAGGGCCAAGACATACTGGTTTATTGTGCGTGCTCCTGGGTTCTCAGACTAGTGGTGCAGTAGTAGCAGAATAGGAAAGTAGCTGCAGTATAGGGCTGTGGAGCTGCAGTGCTACCATGGCTTTTGCTGAGTCAGAGTGCAGGCAGCAGTGATGAACAAGCAAAACACTGGACTCAGCACTGACACCTTGTGGCCATTATCACAATTACACTAACACTACACTGAAATAACAATTGGGGTTTTGTAGCTATAGTGTTGTCTTGGTAATAAAACTTCAAATTTGATTATAATACTTCATACTAAGCAAAACACTTATAAAGATGATTAATAATACAAATTTTTATACAGTAGAATTTCACACAAAAATAATGATAGTTTATACAAAATCAGCACGTGACCTTATACTAGTTCTGATAGAGGTTAAGACTCTTCTAAAACTATTCAGAGAAGATTTAAATTGGTCATGATTATGTATTTTGTTATTATCAATACCCAGTTAAACAAGTTCTTATGTTTCAATACTAGTTTTAGCATCAATTAATCTCTGGACTTTGAATAAACATTATTTATATGGCACTTTTCACAGTGGTGGCTAATGAACCACAAATGAGTTCAAATTGTACCACACATATCTGTCAATGTCTGTTTTAACTTTTACCATAGATAATAGAAATGAATTATGGCAGTGCACAATGGTTGATTTAAACTTTTTTTTTTTCTTATTCCAGAAAAGCTGTACAACTCCACTGGCAGGGAGCTACGCCGAGCCCTTTTTTCCCTCAAGCAGATATTTCAGGTAATGATTGATTTGGTCTTTTATGGTAATGTCTATCTGCAGTCTACTTTTTGACTCATTTGCACTTTTCACTCATTAATCAGATTTGCAGATAGGCAGAATTTAGTCTGTAGATACAAAATGATGTGGGGACTCAGTGGTGCAGTGCTGGCTCGGATAGCCTGGAGAGGAGAGGGCAGTGTGGAAGTTTGAATGTTAGATTTAATTTGGGGGGAAAATAAACCAAATTGGCTGGAAATATTTGCTCAAACTTGCTAAAGGAACTGGATAGTTATAACAGCAATTCAGATTTTACAGTTAGCTTTAACATAACATATGCAGTGGTCCCAGACACCAGTTTCACAGGCTATCCAAATTCATGCCCAACTTTATGCTGGAACATGAGAATGTATGGATATTGATTTAAAAGGCTCATGTTATACTATTTTCTGATCTCTGCTATAATGTTGTTTCCTCATCACAAACATACAGTACCTGGAGTTGTGTTTTGCTTCATTCACACATGTTTAACACACAAACTCACACAAACATATTTAGGCTTTAAACTCCATACACCTTCACTAGAATCATTTGGATGATAATAGCCCTGGAATTTCCCATTTCTACTGAACTAAAGGTAAAAATACCACTACATGACATCACATCACATTTTGAGCTATAAAGATGCGGACAGGCTCTATTAAAGGAGGAAACAACATTATTTCATGGCATAAATTTCACAATTGATGTTGCATTATATTAGCGTTAGGATTCATTTGCTCGATGGTAGGTGCATACTTTTTTTCATTTGACCAATTGCTGCTATTTGGTCGTGACGTATGTAATGCACCACTAACGGGGCTAACTGGTATATGAAGCTTTTCCCAAATCCCGTAGGAAGAAGGGCAATAACGTCTTTCCCCTTGATAAAATTCACCAAACATTCTCTTTGTTCCGGCTTTAAGTCCTTGATCTCTGGAATCGTTGCCAACACAGAATATATGGTTTTGTCTACATCCATCTCGACCGCTTTGTTTACTGTTGTGCTGTACCACAAAAAGGGACCCAGTCATGGCTTCACAGCTCTTTGCTGATTGGTCGGTGCACAGTCTACAACTCCCAGGGTTCCGTCTAGTGTATTCTGATTCCTGACTGAGTTGCTGGAGAGAAATGAAATTGAGTGAAGGCACTAGATAGTGCCCACCTGGCTAGTATTATATAGAACCTTTAATGGTAGACAAGGCCATTGCCTTTGTCAGAGCTACTGTAGTTGATGGGGTGGTTTAGTCCAGGTTTAGACCTGGCTTTGCCACTGTTTAGATCTATTTGGTATAGGTTTTAAGGGAAAGAAAAAAAATGGGTATTCAAATTGCTTTTTAATTGCATTGCAGTGCCGGCTTGGATAACCTGGAGAGGGGAAGGAGATGTGGAAGTTTGCATGTTAGATTTAATTTGGGGTAAAAAATAAACCAAAGTGGCTGGAAATATTTGCTCAAACTTACTAAAGAAATTAGATAGTTTTAACTGCAATTCAGATACTGTTACTGTTAGCTTTAGCCACACATTCAGTCCATTCTATAAAACTCGTTGAAAAACAAAAAAAAACAGTATATTTTCCCTTTATGTTGAAATGCATGCAATTACCTTGGTTGTATTTCACTTCAACTTTTTTTTTTTTTTTACTTTCTTTTGCGTGTAAGCCTAAGAGTAACAGCATAACAGTCTCATATGAAAATGAAATCATGCGTCCTCAGTTGACTTGAAGAAGTGTTGAGCGCATGTATTAGTCTCCAAGCTGTCGTTTCTATATTTTATCTTGTGATTTTAGAAACTTTGCCAAATGACTGGAGTCTCCATCACAGGTCTATAGCAACATGTCCATGCAAAGTTTAGGTTCCCCACAGAGTCTATTACTGTGCATTTGCCTCTACTAAACCTACTATATACAGTTCATAATATTGTAGAAACCTCTGTGTTATTTTAAATTACAAAGCTACTGGTGGAAATATGGGAAGCAGATGGTTTTCTAATTGACACATTGTAAAAGCAAGATGTTAAATCTCAGCTGCTGAAATATAGTGTTTTATTTAAATATAGTATGTAGAGGAAATTGTAGTTAATTTGCAGAGCCCAGACCTCAACAAAGGCACTGACTCCATTTTGCAATCTGAGGAGCAAGATCTAGACATGGGAAAGGTTCTGTAGTGGTGGAGGCATAAATGTGCAGTTTATTTAGCCACAAAGCTCAATTACTACTATAACAATGTCCTAAATCTTTTACACCCATTTTTCCTTAGTCAGTATGTTTTTTCTGTTTCATCAAAATCTAAAACCCATTCATTTTTAGTTACATTCTTAACAGTCAAACTAAAGGTGCACTGTGTCTTGAGGGAGATGCTATTTCATTGCTTAGAATGTGATGCCACCAGGCCAGGTTATATGTCAGATCTGTGGAGAGATGACCCTGCTTGACGTGCTTTTCAAGGTATTTTTGAGCAATGCAAACACTGTTACTAGATATATAAGTTTAATGTTCTACTGTGGGACATTCAAGCAGTAACATCTCCATGAAGACAACAAGCAAGTGGCGCACTCTCCACCAGAATAGCTACATAGTGCACCTTTAAAGGTCCTATAACACAAAATTGACTCTGGTGAACTTTAAGCCAAGTTATCATGCTGTTACCTGATCAAAAACATACCTGGAGTTGTGTTTTGTTTCATTCACACGTTTGCCTTTATTATTAGTTAAGGATGTAACAATAACTGAAATATTGTGATATTGTATCTTCAAAATTCTCACAATAATATCATGAACTATCACAATATATCGAATTACAAGTCTCTTTGCTTAAATTAAGAATTATGGTGCAGCAACAGCTAAAAACAGACAGAGAGAACTACATAGACCATGATTCTTTATTCCATTTCAGTAGACTACAAGAAGAAATAATTGTTCTAAGCACTTTTAAGTCTTAGTTCTTTGGATTAAGTCTTGTCAAGGGTTTTTAAGAGGAAAAAGTAGCATATTAATAGTTTTGTTAGCCTCCACAAAATATAGCAATAAATATCGTACCATGAGATGTACAGTATATCATGAAAATATCGTTCCTAGAGATTTGGACATTGTTACATCCCTAATCGTGAGCCTCCTCACCATATCGTGAGCTTTGCTACGATATCGCAATAAATATTGTACTGTGAGGTTCATACCGTGACAATATCGTATCGTGAGACTTGGATATTGTTACACCCCTATTATTAGTCTATCTACATCTCCAAAGCTCAAAATCCTAAAAAGGTGGAACAGAGTGCTTTCATTTTGAGAGACGAACTCAGCCTAAATCTGCAGTATTTGTGTGTTAAACATGTGAATGAAACATAACACAACTCTAGGTATGTTTGTGATGGGGAAACAACATTATAACAGAGATGAGAAAATATGGGCCCTTTAACACAAAAATAAAGAACCAATAACTATTTCTTTGCTCAAAATGTTCCTTTGTTTTGCAGGACGACAAAGATCTGGTCCATGAGTTTGTGGTGGCAGAAGGACTCACGTGTTTGATAAAAGTCGGAGCTGAGGCCGACCAGAACTACCAGAACTACATCCTCAGGGGTACGTCCATTTTCTCACACATCGCATTCAGAGCACGGGCCAATCCAGGAGGTCATTAATCAGCCCCATAACCCCGTGTTTTCCGTTCACTTATCCCCGACCACATGTGCTTATATACACCATGTAAATTGATGATCCTTCCTTCTCACCCTCACACATTAAGGACGTATAAACAAGCCCAAAATTTGTGACCTGGATTTTGTGGAAGTTCGAGAAAGTCTAACATCAGCCTAATTTATCTGTCCCCTGATGATGAGGTCAAAGGTCATGAGCGGGGGTCAGAAGGACTTGAGTAGGTTTAAGTGTAGTTGGAGTGTCTGCTTACTAGAAAGTCTCTACTCTGTAACCTGCTGTGAGGGGCAGGTCAAACATACTGAAGTGGCTAATAAAATACAGGCAGGATATTGCAGATCATAAAACTAATTTCCCCCTCTTCTACCGCTTCACCTTTACATAAAACATCAAGATTGCTGCTATTACACTTATTTGTGTACTCCATAATTACACCATGATTTTGGTTCAGCCAATACTTTTCTAATACTTTAACATCCATTCATGTATGTTGTTTTCTTATAATTCAACAATATCTCCTTAGTAATCTCGATAAGATCAGAAATCCTTTTGCATTTTTACAACAGAAAAGTAAAATAATAGAACGCCAAAACAAGATTAAAAGGCAAGGCAAGCTTATTTGTATAACACAATCCATAGACAAAGAAATTCAAAGTGCTTTACAGAATAAGAATGACACAATTTAAACAAATCAAAACATAAATAATCATCATAAAATTAACATTTAAAGAGAGGAGAGAAGAGTGCCAGATATTATGTCTTCATATACTCTGCTTAGAATAAAGTATCACTGGAGCCAAAATCTCAATACCCATAGAGACGATGTAGCCTATAGAAATGATCAGAATGCAACTTCCTAGACACCACCTTCATTTTCCCTCAAGAAGAAAATATCAAAGATTACAGGTTATCTCAAAAGTGTCCGTAGCTAGTAATAAAATCCTCCTTACTGTATTCCCCCACTAAACAAATAATTCCTGCACGTGCTTTCTCGTCAGTGTGTCTGCAAGCTGCATACTCCAATTAGAGCCAATCTCCCCCAGAAGTCCTTTTCTAAACCTGTTTCAACTCTTGACCTAATTGTGAGCAGAGCAGCTGAGGAAAGGGGCTGCAGTAGATCACTCCCCATGAGCAGAGGAGCACACATGGACGTGTCAGGAGTGTATAGAGATCTGGCTGCTGGATGCTGTGAGGATTCCCAAAGGAGGAGTAAATTAGACCCTCTCATTTTCACACGTGTACACAGAGAAAGGCAAAGGTATAATTGTCTCAGGGCCTTCACATGTGGGAGGTTTCACTGTGATGTCTTTCATTTTGGGCAGTTCAGGAAAAGCAAATAGGAATGTGCTTTTTTGAGGCCAACTGTCCGTTGTGCATTATAAAGGTCTGGATACGACAATTTCATGTGCTTTCACGATTCAAATCAATCATATGATTGATATATTACATATGCTTCAGTCTAATAATTTTGTGAAATTTCTCACAAATATAACTTTATGCAGTGTTCCCATACCACAGTTTTTCATACTACCCAAATGGCCTCTGTCCTTGATCTGATGGGATGGTTTAGTCTTGATGTAGTGCTGGCTTTGCCCTTGTGGATCAGTTTAGTATAGGTTGTATTCAATTTTCAATAAAGTGAAACGAGTAAGTGGGTATTAAAATTTATGAAATGGCACCAATCCTTTGCACATCACTAGCACATCACTTGCATGAATTTCTGGCCACCGCATACACAGCTTTAGAACAGCAGTGACACAGGAGTTGACGGTCAGTATTCCCAATTTTCCCAACCTCCTGTTTTTGTCCTACTTGAGTCCTGCTTTGGATCTGGTTGTTTGCCCTTCCACACATAATGTTTAATAGTAACAGAATGCCAAAAACATTTATAAGAACAAAACAAATTTTGAACAAGTCCTTACTTTGGACCCACAAGCATGTCTGTGGCCAGTTAGTGCTCCATTATAATGTGGCAGAAGGTGGGTGGCTGTCCCCTGTAGGACCCCTCACACCTGGACCACTGCATTTGAGGTCTGGCCCCAGCCCATCAGAGGGGCCCACGGGGGGCCTGTGTGCGCCTCTATCAAACCATCAGGCTAAATGGAGCTGAGGTCATTCCTTTAGGGGCAACGTGCCATCTGGAGGGGCACCCATGGATAAACACAGTCAGGGAAGTGGAATATAAAACATAACATCACTAGTCAAAATATTAGAACTTCTTTCACAATATAATGAATGTAAGTGTTATTCTAAAAGATTGGAAGATTAGAACACTGTAAATGTACGCAAACAGAACAAAAAGCATAGCACGGACTCATGCAGTAATATAAACAGCATAGTATGTGTTAAAACTATTAGTATTTGATCTAAATCCAGTCATTCCCAGCAGCCAGCAACACATCTTAAAACTTTGGGCCACTGGCAAGTTATCAAAAGATGTTGAGAGGTTGTTTCTTGAATTGCCTACAATGAAATTTAAATGATTTTATGTATATTTGGTTTAAAGTGTGGTTAGAAATTTTGGCAAGAACATTCCAAATACAACACAAGGAAAATGATTGTGCAAAGATGTGCAGCAGTGTACAAAACCAAGCAAAGCAATATGATATACACACTTGTTAGCTCTTCCATTAGCAGTTATCTTCTGTGTTGTCAACTATTACAAATATATATTTTTTTATAATTTATGTATTAATTATATTACTTTTTTAAATTACAACTAAACTAAAAACCCAACACTGACTCAAAACACGCTTCTCTATTTAATAAACTGTGACAGACGACGTGGCAGCTGCAGTAAAAGTAAGTTATGTCCAATCTGGCATTTCCTTTAAAAAGTCCATATTTTACTCTTTTAGTCAGCTGTGCCTGTCCATATATTTTTAACTTTTTTTTTTTTCAACACCAGTAGCCATAATAACTAAACGCTGTTGACAGACTGCAGGGGTTGCCTCAGCCTGTTAAATGAAAACAGCTTGTGCGAAAGGTCAGAATAGTTTAAGTATCACACTCCTGCTCCGGTTAGATGAACAACTCAGGAACAAGCTAAAGAAGTGCATAACAAGGTTTTGGTGGATCAGGCTCCACTTTCTATGTTTACCAAAACCAACAACTACAACAGGTTTTAATTGGTGTCTGTAAAATTGTGAGCTGGGTGGATTAAAGGCAGACCAATTGCAGTTGACTTGAAGTAATTATGCCCCACTTTGAAATCTCCTGACATTCCTCTCTATAAGCTTTGTTTTGAGCTACACTTTCTCTGTTGGTGCTTTTGAAAGGCCGTGCCATTTCTGTCTGTTTACACAACACACCATCTCCAAGACTCTCCAAATTAATGTTAATGTTTGGTTAAGTACATCACATTACAGAATTACAAGCGTTCTCTGTGTATGTAAGGAAAAAGTGGAGCATTGAAAAATCTTAAGACCCGTTTTGGAGGGAAAAGTGGAACATTGAAAAATCTTAAGACCCGTTTTAGAGAAGGGTTAAACATAGCACGAAAATAGACTGGAATATTTGGAAGTATTTCAAACATTTGCTCAGTCATTTTCTAAAGTGTTCCTGTTTCAAGTGAACCGATTATTAAAGGTGCACAATGTAACATTTCTGGTAGAGAGTGCTTGCTTGTGTCCGAGATTTTCTTTGCTTTGTTTGTAATGTTCCACAGGATGGTATTAAACTCGCCTGTCTTCATGGAGACAAGCAGGTATAAGATAGTAAGAAGTCATGTTTCTTTTTGAGTGAAATAAATGCTTAAAAAAAAGATAATTTAATTCCATAGTGTAGAACATTAAATTAAAAGCTATAACATCTCCATATAGAACCCTCCACCAGAAAAGTTGCATAGTCCACCTTTAAAGCCTCACGTGTCTCAAGAACCTTTGTACAGCTTTATCTCAAAACAGGTAACCATTCTTTTTGAAAACAATTACATACATGGCAAAATGCGCAGATTTATAGCTGGCAGAGGGAAATGGAGTTACATTGTGAAGACTCTTACTGCTTTGAATAACTCACAGCCATTTATCATTTGTCCTTTTATCTCTTCCCCTCCTCTCCCTTGGTCAGACTGTTTCCAATAACGTGGCCATTATATTGCCATAAGTTAACCACCTGGACTTCCTGATTTCTACTTGAACCGCAAAGGGAGATATATTGATGATTTTCACTGCCTTTTTAAACAGTTTGCCCCCACTAGCAATCTCAGTTAGATTTTTTGTGGCTTGTAACATCAGCAAGCTGCAGGTCACTTTACACAGTGCCCAAAACACAAGACCCCATTGTTTTCTGTCTCTTTTGCGGTCTTTTGTGTGTCCAGGCGTAAAATGTTATACATCAATAAACACAAATTGCACTTTTAAAAGAGTCCGGTTGAACAAAGTGCTGGTCGCAAAGTCGTATTGCGTTACATTTGAAAAGAGGACATTACTACCGCCATTGTGGACAAGTTCTTTAAAAGTCAAAGCTGTGTAACAGAACTCCCACTTTTGTTAAGTGAAAAGCCAGGCCCGCTAAAGTTAACAGTGCAAGTTGGACACTAGCATAGGAAACAGTGTGTTGCCGTCTGCTCTGGCCAATAGTCTGGATAAACGCTCCACTCCTGTCTGGGCTATATTTGTAGAACTGGTCTAGTACAGGTGCTATGACTTCCTTGTTTGTGTGATCAAGTAGAGGGTAGAAGGACATAAGGGGAGGCGAATGAGGACTGGAAATCCTACGGCAAAGCGAAACTCCCATACAGTCAACAAAGGAACTGCTGACACATGTTGAGCAGTGAGAAGGGGGTCTCCAGGAAGACTTGTGCAGCAGGAGAAATGTGATGCCTGGTATGTAGTAAGATCTCATGGGAAATCGCTGATGTTTTCAAAGCTGGACCACGCATAAAGTTATTTGAATTGAATGAGTTGAAAACAAAAAATGACTGCGTT